TTTGTTCTCAATGAAATCTATTCTTGAAAATTCAATCTTGACTTGGTGTCATGCTCAGTTTTTCTAGATATTAGTGGTTTTCACGTTAATTTCAATATAATCGGGGACATTAACGAAATACGTAAACACGATTTTAGCAACAGGTTGGGACGAAACCATACACCTAGCCCCGATTCATGAGAATAGGAAACTAACTTAGTCGAGAAAATCTGTGACATTTTATAGCATCAGTTATTATTTTCTCTGGTACGTAATGAGATGAGTCATTTCCAACCCTCATTTCAAAAAGTCAAAAATATTTCCATTTTTTAGGTAAAATACTAACATTGGATAACAAATGAGCTACGGACACGACGCAGGAAATAGTTTCGTGCATAAAATAAACAAATAGGTTAATTAATTATTATAACCCACTCTTCTAAAAGTCAGTTTACTGAGGAATACTACATTAGTTATAGAGATGTCTAGAACACGTGAATTTTAGAGCTTCTGAGAACAGCACAGTCGCCTCTGGGTGGCAAGTAGCAGGTGCTAGATGCCGTGAGCTAATGGATGAAACACGACAAATAAGTCGATTTTCTTTTAAAACGACGAGATTATTCTTCGTGGTTTTACTCTGCCTATTTTGGTTTTAAAAAGTTTGGTTTTTGTTTGGTATAGGTACACTTTCTCACAATGAGATGTTATTTTTTTTTTCTGTAAAATGTGTGTCCACTAAACAGTAGACTGGAGCAAAAGGGGGCGGGAGAGATAGAGTACGAATTTTTAGATGACCTGCTATTCTCAGAAATGAGCAAAGTAAAATTATACCACTCTCGGAACAAAGAGGGCAAAATTAGATTTCTGCTTTGAAGCAAGAAAAGTTAGATAATTATGTCAAGGCAATAGTGACCACTTACAGGTTCCGCCCATCTTCGTAATTTGTACGTCTAAACATTTTCCTGTCATTCTCAGATGTTCAATGTAAAACATGTCAATATATTTTTACATTTCTGCAATCATATTAAGAATCCACTAAAAAGGACATAGATCTCACAACAAATAAGTTGTCATTCTTTCGTGCATTGCCTGAACATGTTGTACAAATACAGTATCACAATATGTATGAGCCACTACAATTTTGTGGATCTTCAAGACATTATTCGTGCCAAAGCTAAGCCCAAATATTACGTACGTATTGTACAGCAAGAAATGGCCTCGAATGTTCATTAAAACTTCGCATGCAAAAGATTTTGAAAATACGTTTTATAAAAAATGTTAACATTAAAATTATTAGGGATAAAAAATAATAGTATAAACGCATGCCCTGAATATTGAAATTTAACCATCCAATTTTGAATTTAACTCAAAAAACTGCAAACTTGTTGAAAAATATGATAAAAAAGCGCAACATTATTTATATTTTAAAATAAACTTATATTTATTACATTTAATACATTGAACAATTAATAGCCAAATTATATTAAATTCTGGTTAACTTCATGTTGAAAGTTCCTCCACGCCGTGAAAAATTACGAACATTTTTGGGACTGTGTTTATGAACATGCTGGATTTTTTTCTAACGATTATTGAAGTTTAAAGTAGGTAATATTTCTGTCAACGATGATAATAATTATTTATAAAATTTTCTAAAATAAATATTTAAAAAGCCGACAGTTGATAAAAATATACGAAAGGAGTTACTTCTTCGCTAACAGCACAGGGGCTCGAAATTCGTTGCCCCTTTCCATATCTGATCATAGGGGACGTGGATCCACCATTTCATTACAAAGTTACAGCATCATCGCTAAGGTCATGATAATGTTTACTGCGAACCGTTTTCAAAATTAATCAGTGGTGCTACAGAATGGCACATACTTTTTTGTACTAGTTAGTTTTGTAATTTCTTTGGTCAGGGCTAACTTTTCGTTCCTGCCCCATCCTCTTCCCAGCTGCCATCTATCGCCACCAAAACTACATTTTTTCACATTTTCTCAATTTTTCGGTTCCCTGATGATATAATTGGCACATAACTTTAGGTATGTTATAGAAGGGTACAACCGTGTACTAAATGGAATTTTTTGTTGAAAAATTTGAAGCCATGTTTGAGAAAATGTCGTTTAAACGTTACTGTAATTGCGAAATTTGAAGCTCTTTTTCACAGAAAACGCTATATTCGTTTCTCGTCATATAAAGTTTCTCGAAAATTCAACCGTTTTCTGTGAAAATTAGCTCAAATTCCACATTTTCAGAAACGCTCAAACGCCATTTTCTCAGAAAACGGCTCCAATCTTCATCTTCAAACTTTTCGAACGGATAGTGCTAATGTCACTCTAATATGACGCTAAGTTAATTTCGTATTTTTTTCTTTTTTTTCGAAAATTACACAAATGTAATTTATTTGGAAGACTTCTCACGCCGTTAATATGCACATTTCAACCAATTTGTAAACACAATTGTATTTGTGAGTTAAAGTACTTCAAATTTCTTCTAATGGAGTTTTTCGAAAACTCAAAAATTTTCTGTGAAAAAGCACTTCAAATTTCGAATTTACAGTAGTGCTTAAGGGCCAATTTCTTAAAAACGACTCGAAATGTTTCAAAGAAAATTGCCTTTTAGGACAACGTTTTACTGTTATTTAATATTCGTAAAATAACATTTCCGTTCTACAATTAGGAAATCGAAAAGTTATTAAAAATTTCAAAAAAATGTACTTTCGGCGGCGATAGATGGCAGTAGGCAAGAGTATGTGGCAAGTTCGCTAGACGAGACCAAAGGAAATAGAAAACTAATTCGTGAAAGTCTGTGCCATTCTGTAGCACCGCTAGTTTAAATATTTAATTTTCGAAAAATCATAGGTTTCAATGAAAATCGTAATTGTGCCATTTTTATAGCCGTATATTGCTGTCTTTGAGCAAAATATTTAAAGAAAATAGGAGCGTTTTTTCAGAAATTTCAGAACTGTCCTTGGGGGTTCACGAAAAGTAACTCCAAAAATTAAAGTAGTATCCTTTTAAAATTCAAGGGGCCGCAGCAACCATTGGATTAGTTTGGGAATGTTAAATGTGGTAAAAATCCCATGTTATGTTTAATGTCACAAATTGGACAAGCCATATTTGTTTTTTTGGTACCAAGGATCCACAAAATGTGGAATTAGATTATTCTACATATTCAAAAACGTAATTTTCTACATGGAGCAAGAAAATTTCAGTAGTTCGGAATCAGAAACACACAAAATGAGTTTTTAGGACGAAAAAATAGAAGACTAAAAAATAACTAGAGGTGATACAGAGTGGCACAGACTTTCTCATACCTGTTATTTTTCTAATTTCTTTGGTCTGGGGTAGCTTTGGTCTTGCCCCATCCTCTTGCCCGCTGCCTTCTATCGTCACCCGAGTACATATTTTTGAATATTTTTCAATTTTTCTGTTTCCTACTGCTAGAGCAGAAACATTATTTTAAGAATAATCCAGAAGTGTAAAACCTACTTATAAATGGATATTTTTGTTGATAAATTTGAAGCGTTTTTTTTCGAGAATGTCGTTTAAGTAGCCTATTAAATGCGAAATTTGAAGGATTTTTTTTTCACAGAAAACATTTAAGTTTTTGATAAATTTTAATGGAAGTCATTTCAAGCATTTCTATTCGCAAAAGCAATAATGTATACAAATTGCTAGAAATGTGCATATTAAGGGAGTGAGAGAGATTTAAAGAAAAATATATTTCTGTAATTTTTTAACAAAATCAAAAGAATACTTCAGAATGGAATTTATGTCATCTTATACAATCCACTGACTATCCGTACAAAAACTTTGAAGAAAAAACTCGGATTAGTTTTGATAAAATGACATTTGAACGTTCCTGAAAATTTGGAACTTTGAGCTCATTTTTACACAAAACTGTTGGGTTTTCGAGAAACTTTGTCATCATTTAAAGCACATGTATTCATAAATGTAATAATGTGAACAAACCGCCAGTAAATATTAACGATGTTAGAAATTTGACAAAAAAATTACATTTGTATAATTTTTGAAAGAATAGAACAAAAAGGCGCTTATGTCATCGTATGCAGTACATTTAGCACTACCTTTATAAAAAGTTTAAGGAAAAAAATTGGAGCCTTTTTGAGAAATGTTTGTTTCTGATATTTATTTAATTGCACATATTTCACTCAATGTTGCGCGAAAACTACTAAAGATTTCAAAAAATGTGCACGGCCTTAAAGAAAGAACTAATTATGGAAAACAAATTTCATATTAAGGAAAAATCTCTTATATTCAATTTTGTAGTTGGAGAATTACGGCGAACAATTTTTACTTTTGCAATTTTCTGAAATTCAGAGTTAACAGTGAAAATCGGACCTATGCCACCTTTATAAGTGTATTTTAATCTATTCTTATAATAAATTTAAAGAAAAAAAATGTGGAGCCTTTTTTGGAGAAAATTTTGAATATGTCCCAGGGGCTTCATGAAATGTACCCCCAAAAATTAATGAATGTTTTTCAAAATCGCGGAGCTATGAGTGAAGCCAGATCGACCGGGGATTATTCGGTTCCGAGAAAATCGGCTGAACGGTTTAACCGCCAGCGGCGGTCACGGACGGACGGACAGGCGTTTTTCCGCCAATCGATTTTTCTGCATCAAGGAACCACAGAACATTGATTCTGCATACACCACGTGTTAGAGATTTTTTTCTTCTAAATTCAGCAAATGTCTATCCACTTTTTCGTTACCAGGGCTCGTCAATACGAGTTTCTCTGCCGAAAATTCGCAGCTTTTTCACGCAGTATTATATAACTTTCTCTCTACTGTGTAAGCGTTAGCGAAAACGTAAAAGATGCACAAAAGAAATGATGGAGAAACGAAATGGGAGGGAAGTAAATAGGAGACCTGCAAGAAAGGCGCCACGAGCCCTTTGCGATGGCCACAAATTTCACTTGAGGTCTACTTGCCTAATTCCAATAGCGGCCCTAGAGCAGGAAGCTAACATTTCGATTAACGGGACACATTGCTTCATTTAAAATAGAAAACAAACGGAAAAAAGGATAACTTGGATTTAGACACCAGTTATATATGAGCTCTTTTACGATGCTAATTATTGGTATAGTAAGTTCAATTGGATTATGGAAAGCTATGACAAAAGTGACATAATACATTTTTTTCCTATTTTCACTGCTTCGGGTATACTTTAGGAATCCCGTATACTTTGAATAGGTAGTCTTCAACGAAAAGGGAGAAGAGGGGAGCAGAAGTAGGTCATACACGTGCACTACCTCATGGAAACCCCTTAAGGGTTGGGGTTCTCCTCTTACTATTTGACATAATGAAAATGAAAAAAGGTTCCCTTACGTACATTGAATCGAATTAAAAAATCCGAGAGCTTTCTTCACAATGCTTCGTAACTATATAATTTCTACAGACATTTTTGCTAAAATGTAGAAGATTGAAGTACCCTTTTAACACTAGCCTGGTTGAAAAAAATAATACTGTTGTTTTCAAAACAGTTGTTTCCAAAAATTCTGACATACATTCTTCAAAATGAATTAAAATGACAATGAGCAACCTGTTAAAAGTACATATGAACCAGATAGCATTACTTAGGTTTCTGTACTAACAAGATAGATAAGCTTACCTGTAATAGGATAAAATTCCCTCTCTGAACAAGGCTTCTTGAAACAGAACTTTAGAACAGTAACAGCGAAACATTCTTGAAGTTCACAAGTGTATAGGAAAGAAGACAGCTCTTGCAAGTGTAAAAAGTAGGTAGTACTGATGATCTCGACTGCAATTTTAAATTGCTCAATTTTATAATGCATATTATCAAAAATATATTTTAAGTTCCAGAAGTAAATAATAATTATAATGCCACCGAAGGATCCTGAACTTCAAAAATTACAGCAGGAACTGGATGACTTAGTTAAAAAGCTGAAGGTATGTTCTTTTGTAAAATTGTACTTTACTTTTAAAAACTAAACAAAAATTATAACAAAGTTTTAATCACCACTATCTTTAATTATTTGACTTTACTAACAGGATGAGCAAAAAAAAGTAGCAGATACAACTCTTGAGGCAGTTTGTGGAAGCATCCCTGATGCTCCAAAAGTGCGTCTTGTGACCAAAAAATTGCTCAAAGGACATATAAATAAAGTAAATTCTATTCACTTTAGTGGAGACAGCAGGTTGGTTCTACATTAGTAACTGACTAAGAAAATATGGAAGATTTGAGTTACATGTTAAATATGATTTTATAGGCATTGTGTTACGGGTTCTCTTGATGGAAAACTTATTATATGGGATACATGGACTGGAAATAAAGTGCAGATCATTCCATTAAGATCCTCTTGGGTGATGAGTGTTGCATTTGCTCCTTCAGGAAATTTCGTTGGTAAGAAATTTGGTTGTAAATAATTGCTGGCAGAATTTCCATTATTTTCTTTGCAAGTATTTTACTCTGTTAAATAGCTTGTGGAGGAATGGACAATATGTGCACAGTCTATGATTTAAACAACAGAGATTCTACTGGTGTAGCCAAAATAGTTCGAGAGCTAATGGGTTATGAAGGATTCCTTTCTTCCTGTCGTTTTATTGATGATAAAACTCTGGTAACTGGATCAGGAGACATGAAACTGTAATGTATTTTTCAAACTCTTTTTTTTTTCATTTTGTTATTGATATATTTTTATTACTGCAAATTGTACTAATCATCAGAATTTTGTAATTCTATAGATGTATGTGGGATCTGGAGTCAGGGAAGAAAACCCAGGATTTCGATGCACATGCTGGAGATGTGATAAGTATATCCTTAGCGCCAGATAATCAGACATATGTAACTGGCAGTGTGGACAAAAGTTGTAAGTTATGGGATGTTCGAGAAGAAAAATGTAGGCAAACATTTTTTGGTCATGAATCTGATGTCAACTCAGTATGTGTAAGTCATTCATTTCGCAAGATTTGTAAAATATTATATCTTTTGGGATTGTCATATTTGGGTTTTATACATATTTTAATGTTGCACTGGTTATTTAACATGATTTTCAGAAAAGAATGATTGCTACAACATTTGTGTTACCGTTACATGTTATTTGAGACAGGTAGAACTAGAGTGGGCCAACTCTAATTTTTTATGAGGCTATGCCACGCTTTCCTATCAAAACAAAGAAGGGTCCAATTGTAATGCTTCTTTAGCAATCAGAGGGTAACCCACATTATGAGAGAGTCACCAGTCCATCAGGTGGTGACAAAAGTGCTATTTCATGTTGCCTCAGATTGAACTTACAGTGAGGATGGCTCACTATAGTTCTTAATGCCTGTTATCTAACTAAACACTAGAACATACATTGTATTACATTTTCATTTATGAACGTAAGTAGTGTACTTTTATTTATGAAAATAACTCATGTATTTTTTCTTTTGGTAGTTCCATCCATCAGGATTTTCTTTCGCAACTGGTTCAGAAGATAAGACAGCTCGCCTATGGGATATTCGAGCAGATCAGCAAATTGCTCAATATGCTCCACCTAATGCAAACTCTGGTTTCACCTGCTGTGGCATATCTCTTTCTGGGCGATTTCTTATGTGTGGTAGTGATGACACTTCAGTACACATATGGGACACATTGAAAACTCAACATAATGGTACCTATATTCAGATTCTTTTCAAAATATTTTTTTTCTTGAGGTTATCTCCAAATCACAATAAAGTTTCAGCCTGAGTTATGAAAGCCATCAAAGACTCAACCAGTACATTATATTGGTGTTTTTCTTGCCAATGTCACATAATCCATTCAATGAAATAAAACTACATATTTGAATTTCTCAAAATTTCAAAAGATGTCTATTTTTATTGTTTTTGCTCATGGATCAGTGATGATGCCTATTAATCTAATTTTCTTGTTATGGCTATATATTATCAGGGTTCATTGAAGATTTTCCTCCCTGATCCATAATTCCCATTGCCCTCTAAAATGAGGCTGTCTACTTAATTTTTTCTCTCTCGTGTCTTGTAAATATCATATCCTCAAAAGACAAACATTTTTTCTTCTTCATGCTGTTTTCTTGATCGCTACCTCAATCTTCCGGCGCCTAATCTTCTTCTCCAGTCATCCCTGTTCTTCCAGGAATCAGGAAGTAATTTCCACATCTCGGTTATCTTTCTGATCTGGTCATTCCATCCTGATCTTGTTCTGCCCCGTTTTCTCCTTTCACTTGGTTGCCATTCTAAGGATCTTCTGTGGAGTCTTCTCTTGTCCATTCGCTCTACATGTCCAAACCAAGTGAATTGTTTCTTTTCAATTTCCTCTATAATATCATTTAAGATTCATTATTTACTTAACCTGTTCATTACTTATTCTTTCCCTTCTAGATATTGCTGTAGCTCTTCTGAGGAAATCCATTTCCAAAGCTCTCCATTTTCTTTTCTGTTGTTCTGGAAGCTGCCATATTTCTGCTCCATACAATGTAACACTTTTAATCATACATTTATTTATTCTAATTTTCGTTTTCTTGCTTATATTTGGATCCCAGATAACTGAATTCAGGGCTTTTAAAATTTTTCTTCCTCTAATGAGTTAAGTTTCACATTCCTTTCCATAAAATTTAATATTATAATACAAATATAAAATTAATAAAGACAAACAATTTATTTCCAATCTAATCCTGATTGGATTTTTCATCCAGTTTCTCTTGATTCATTGAGAAATGCTGAAATGACCCCTTGTTTTCCTGGACACAAATGTACATTCACAAAGTGCACCTATTGTTGAACTCTTTTCTCTCCCTTTTTTGTACTATTGAACAGGGAGGAAAAGTAATGGAATCCCCTCAGCAATAAGATCTCGAATTTTTTGTCATAAAATCTGTATTGAAGGTTTTTTTGAGTTGTGACTTCACACATATCAGGATTAAGGTTTACTAGCAGTGTTACCAAGAAGGTTAAGGTTGGTTGAGGAGATAAAACGCAATTTTATATTCCAAAATTGGGATGTCTGTGTAAATGGATATCGCACATAACGCTAACATTAGCAGCTTTTGAATTGAATCTTGGCAAACATGTCAGGAGATCTTTAAATTATGTCTCTTACTTAAAAAAAGTACATAAATATTAGTAGTTGTTGAGTATTAACACTGAGAGAAGGAAGAGTGTTGGTTGGTATTCAGCATTCTCTCTATTGTTTGCGAGTTGTGATAGGAACAAGGCCCAAGGTGTGTGTGTGTGTGTGTGTGTGTCGGCAATGTTATAAAATGCAATTATAGCATATTACTGCAATCATAAAAGTTTTTTGCCAACAACAATAATTTTTCTATTACTTGGGAGTGAAAATTTCCAATTTTCAAAAGCTGCTTATCATCCTTAGTTGCCTCTTTTCAATTAATCACATAAAGGATGGTGTATGGATCATACAAAGGGTGGCATCTTTGGTGGTGAATTTTTTTTTGAGTGGCAATAAATAAATTAGACAGTATAAGCACAGACTGGGATTTCACAATGTTTAATGTTGTTTTAGGTAAGATTACTAACCCAAAGCTATAGTTCTAAGCTCTTCCAAATTTTTACTCTTAATTATAACCTACACTATTTCATCTCATATTTTATAGAATAGGTATTTATATTTGAAACAAATAACCTTCCAATGTATTTATCTTTCAAATAAAAAAAATAAAAAAATTGTATTTACCATTTTTCAGGTACTCTTGCTGGTCATGAAAACAGGATAACCTCTCTCTCAGTTGCTGGCAATGGAATGGCTGTGGCCACCTGTTCTTGGGATCAAAATGTTCGTATTTGGGTTTGAAATAAGATTGTCACTGGATATGTATTATTTGTAAATGTAAGATACCTTCATTACTCTTTTTGAACTTTCACTTAATTTTTTTCACATACTTTTTTTATTTGACAAAGGTAGATGTCCATAAATAAAACTGACAAAAATGCTACAAGATTATAAATTAACTAAAGAGTACTGCAATAGGAATTTTGTATAATTTGTTTAATTGTATGCTTCACTTACAAAGGCAAATGCTGCAGCATGTTTACTCCCAAACTGTATTTTCCAGGATAATTGTATAAAGCTAAATATGGAGTTACTGTTTTTTGCAGTTAAAATCAATACTATGTTTCAACTACAATTTTTGATTTCATTTGGAGGCAAATCTATAATAAGATCTAGTCAATGTCAGAATTCAATGCAGTCAGCTATAATTTCTTGAGAAAAGAAAAAATATGTTGTATATAATTAAAAAAGTTTGAAATACAATCACATATGAGATATAGGAATGATTTTAAACAAGTATGAAATAACACTAGAAAAGAAAATGTTCCCGAATATGTAAAATTTATTTCCTTGATTAAACACATCATATATTATATTTTATTTAATTATTCTTTACCTGTAGATTTTGGCATAATGTCTTAACAAATGTTAAAAAATTAGTTTATCAATAATTCTAAAAAATAGCAAGGACACACAGAAATTTATTTCAGGCATTTATTGTTTATGTACCCAATATTCACAGACCAATCAGTGTAGAAGTAATTGACATTACAACAGAAACATGAAAAATTGTAAATATTATTGGCTTCCCCAAACACTGAAGAAAATAAAAAAGAAAGCAGGAATGGGAAGGGGGGGGGGGGCCCAATGGTTCAATTAAAACAGAACAATAGCATGTGACAATGAGCCCCCAGAAAAAAAGTCTGTTGCCAATAATCTACAATAAATGTTCTTTAAATTACTAAATCAGTCTTGTCCAGGGCATTCTTGCTCGACTTTCAGACTGTTTACTGATAATTTGCATTCATCATGAAACATGGTACATTGCAACTGTATATTTCTTTCTTTTCTTTGTATGTATATCAATAAATATTGCAAATAAAATTTGAAATATTGCAATTGCAAATAAAATTTAAAAAACAGAAATTTACAATAACTATTGCATTGATTCTAAGAATAAATAATGTACCAAATAACGTTGTTCTCTAAATTTAGATGTTTGCATTTCATCCCATAGTTTTCTCCTTAAATAGTTTTTGGAAGTTACACAGCATAACTGAAATCAAAATGAATTTACAAACATTAAAAAATTATAACTACAAAGCAGCTTCAGTTAATATCACTACAAACCCCAATGCAAGGATACACATTTGAGGTGCAAGCAAAATGCCCATTATCAAGTTATAAAAATCATCTCAATTCAAGAATTCCCTTCATCAACTGTGAACCACTATTAGATTTATATAAATAGTCCCTTAATGAACAATCACCCCAATATAAAAGGGAATTATTAAAAAAGAACACAAATGTTCTCTTTTCAATATAAAATGTATTTTTCAACATTATTTCATAATGATGTTTCACGAAGATTTTTACATATACACACACAACACAATACAATTACATATATACAAAATTAAACAAACAATATAAAAACAAATAACACATTAATAATATAGGAATCTGATGGCAATAAGATAGGATAGGTCCTATATTTAAAAATTCCACAACAGGCAATCAAACTTTTGCATTTCTCGATAATGCTTGAGGTACTGAAAATGCATTCATACAATTTAAAATAGAGTAACAATATGTAAATGTAAAAGAATGGAGAAGAAAAAAAAAAAGGAAAGACAAAATATATACCTAATATTTACATCTACTAGATGAAAACAATTTTGGCTCGAATAAAATCTACACAATTATATAATCTATGACAGCTTCTTTCTCTGGAGGAAAGAAGTATTTATTCCAACAGGATTGCAAATTACAATAGCAAACATAAGAATAATTAAATTGCATAAATCAAATTAATGAATAATTAGAAGAGTGATTAATTTATACAAATTGTTTTTACTGAAACTACTTTCAAGTTGGTCTAATTCTTCATATTTCTTCCAGAAAAAGATATCACTGGCACTGACCTAGTGCTCTTAATTCATGCAAGTTTTATAAAACATACTGTAGAAAATTAACCATGCTACTGCAAAATACTAACATGAAACATGACTGAACCTTGGTTGAGTGAAATAGGACCTTCCTGAAGATGAAGGCATACAATTAAATTATGATACAGTATTTTTGAATTCAATATAGCTTAAATATATTGATACAATATATTAAAGCTACTTACTGCACATATCTAATGCACTGTAGTTCTCCAATGCGTGCATGCAGAGAAATTACATTTTTTGAATATGAAAATAAACAAAAATTCAGAAAAGATAAATATTTTTCCACAAGCACAAAATAGGGGAAAAACAATGATATTAACAAATTCATTTTTCTACTGCAAAAATATTATGAAAAGTCAAAGAAACAATTACAGGTTTTAATGCAGAACCTTTTCTCATTCTGAAAATTTGACGGAAGAACAGAAAATTGCATACAAGTTCTCAGATGAAAAACAATAAGAAAATAATAATAATAATAATAATAAAATTAAAAGATGAAAGTTGAAAGTGTCATCTCTGAAGTATGATTAATAATTTATTTCTTTTGTTTGTTGAGTAAACAAAATCAAATTCATATTCATTTTAAAGGAAGGTGACCAATAAGCAATAAATAATTACAATAGTAAAATTACTTGTTGATTTTGCATATAATTAGAAATAATTAAAAATTATTCTTCGAAGATGTGACTCAACACTTCTGAGAATTTTTTCCCCTCATTTCATTTACGAATACATAATACGTATTTTTCAAAAATATTATGAAAATAATTTCAACAAATGCAAAAACGTGATTATGCAATTGTACAATTTTTCATTCAGTTTTCCTCTCTCAAAAGAAGATTTGTGCAATGTTTGATTCAAAATTTTTATACTCTATAGAAAGTTACTTGAATTAGAGATATTGCAAACAAAAACGTTCTTACTGCAGACGGTTTTTGACATAAAAAGACTAAATTCCTGTTTAATACATTTTCTACAAAATTTATCCCTTAAGATTTTGTCCTTGGGATAAAAAAACAGTACAATATAATTCTTTTCAAAAAACTTTCAGAATATATTCAAGAACATCTTTAAAAAATATGACCGTGCTTTTCATTCAGTAAACAGGAATCAGCATCAAATTAAAACCATAAAACATCATGTAAAATTTTTGAAGAAATAGTTTCAAAGGGCTCTTTGCAACACCCATTCTGTACTTTAAAGCAATGTGTGGTCAACTGAAACTACAACTAATTAAAATACGTTAGCTACTCAAATACAAAAGAGATTTTTAAAATGGGGAAGAGTCTTCACCATTTTTTTGAGGGGGGGGGGAGGGGAAAGAAATAGAAAAGAAAGCGAACAACAATATAAACTATTGCAATCCTGTACTCAATAAATTAAAACCAATAATAATGACAAATGGGGACAGGCTACAAATCCAATATCACATCATTAGCATAGATTTAGGCTCAACCTAGTTTTCTGTGATATAATAATTCAAATTCACATTCATTTTCAAGTAATTACAAAATAACGGAATCCAAAGAAAATAGAAATTAAAAATGAAGGTGCATTATACCTGAATAATAAGTTCCTTACTTAAATAAAATGCCAGTCCTTTATTTCTTTGGTATGATGTATGTATATTAATATTTTATAATTATTGTAAGTTTGAGATGACGAAGAAAGTAAAACAGACATGGAAAAGTTTCTTATACCATCCAATAAAAATGTACCTTTCCGATGTTCATAGTTCTTTTCGAAACACCAAAATATTTATAATAACATTAAAAAATAACAATTAAAGTCCATCAAACAATTCATTTCAATCTGCCATCAAACAAAATGAATACACTCCCTTAAATTTAAATAATATTTTTGTCATTATGCCATTCTGGACGGATAAAGTTAGTTGAAAATGCAAAATTGGAGAAGATAAAGCAATAAAAATATAAAGTAAAATTGTATATATAGATATATATCACAGTTATAAAAAGAGGATTTTCAATTGCAACAAAGTAAATACATATTTAATACATACATACATACACACATGCTTGCATATTAAACATCCTCTCACATACTTGCATATTAAACATATTCTCACACACTTTTACAATCCTTGGAGCTTCATTCACACTCACTAAAATAAATACTAACAAAGTGCTCTTGAACCTAAAAAATTTCGAAATGTCTTTTTTTAAGAACATAACATATTTACGATATAAAGAAATGTCTTTCTTGAACGTGTAAATGATAACCAGCAATATCTTTCTATTATCTGATGATAAATACATTATTAAATTTTCTGTAGCAGAACAGTTTATGTTTTGATACATAGAAGAGAACAAACAAATTACTTCATACAATTTTCATGTTTGAATGATCTGCTACAGTATATTTCTTCAATTTCCAGAATGGCTATTACGATAGTTCTGGAATCAAAGTTATTTTCCATACTGCTTCATTTTTGTGAAATGAAAATATGCTGACAACCATATGCCTATTCAAAAAGTAAATATTACACTGTAGCTAATTAATTACCTGATTCTAGTACTAAACAATTAGGTTCAATAATGATACATTTTAACAATCTGGTTCCTGACGTCCACATAAAGAGCAAACAAAGTAATGATTCTCCTACCTGAGAATACTGAGCTCACAAGTATTCAGAATCAAGCAAGTTTTGAGAAAAAACAAAAAAACAAACAAAAATAACAACATATACTCAAGGATACAACACTTTTGTTGTAAAACAAATACAGTATTTCTTCAGCCTTAACAACACAGTTCCCTAACAAAATACCTCTTCCAAAAATAAATGAAAATTTTACAGAGTAACAGACAAGGTTTTCATTTCCATTACTGCCTGCCCCCATTCTCTATGACTAGGCATGATTGTTTGTTGTTTTTCTTCATAGTCCGTCCAACTTGATAAGTAATGCAGACAAAACAGTTGCACCTCTCTCCTTTGTTACCCATTCCGAGGCATCATGGTCAATATGAGGATCCACAGGTTTTGCGATTCCAGCTATTGAAGGTGGACCAATCTTGTACGAGCCAGGCTGAACAAGAATTTGAAAAGCCGCAAATGCTTTGTAATGTTTTTTGGTCTTTGGATCCATGAACCTACAAGCAAATGTTCAAATCAGTTAAAGATTATAGATATCTCATTTGCACTTATTCATCAGGTTTAGAGACTTCCTCAAAATAATTAAATTTAACTAGAAAAATTAACTTAATAAAAACTTACTCATTCTTGTTTGGAAATGTAGTCGACATTGCATACTTTATGCTGGGTGAAAATAAGAGCTGTGAACCATCTGAATCATCTTCTTTAGACTTATCTTTTTTAAATATACTTCTTTCTAATCCTAATTCTCCTAAGAACAACATCAAGAGTACTATTAGATACTTGTATGTAGAAATCATGCATAAAAAAAATCTACACAAAAAATAAACCTGGCAAAAGAAGCTCCCCATGGTCCAATATTCTTCGAATATCACCTAACTTGGTACCATAAAACGCCACATGCCACTTGTCTGAAGGAACTTCTGCACCAGGTGGAGGTCGGAGAGAAAACCTACACCAACCAAATGGTACACCATATTCAACCGGAGGATCTCCTTTATGAGTATAGGCCTGATCTCCACGAAGTTTGTAGCAAGTTTCACAGTAGCATACATTATAATCACTATTAAAAAAACCATCTGTAAAACACAATATTCAAATAATTTATTATCACAGTCAAAAACTGATAAAGAAAGAACTTTTATATACAATTAACTTCAAGCCACTTTTACCTGGAAGTCCAAGAATATTCTTAAACCTCAAACAAGTATTTTGATATTCACAGTTCTTGTTAACAGTGGTGTGTGATGCTGAACTTGGAGTACATGGTGCTGTTCCACAAGACATTTGACCAGGGGTGGTAACAGGTGTGGGTAAACTCAAAGGAATTTGAGCAGTTGTCATGTTAGAGACCGACTCTGCAATTGCATTTGAGACAGTATTTGAATCTCCATTTACATTTGATGAACTAATATTCGATACCGATGGCGACAGAGCAGTTTGTGAAGATTTCAATTGACCATTTACAACATCATTTGCAGAAGGATTTGTTGAAGTAGCAACACTAATAGTGGGCATTGAAGAGTCTTGTGAAAATCCTGATGGGTTAGAAGTTATTATTTCATCTGATCCCAATCCTGATAACTTTTCCTTTTCATCACACTCTAAGTCAGCCTTTTCACTGAGAGATTCAAATTCTGCTAACATAGCCATTCCCTGTCCCAGAGCTGCCTCTCTCATACAGCACTGGGCCTGTGAGAGATTTAAATGTATGTCTTCTCCCGGACTAATAATTGTAACCTAAAATGGAAAAAACGAATTTATGTTCCACACTCCACAAGAAATGTTTTAACGGACAAGGGTGTGATATCATACCTCTTCACATTGACCATACAGGTCTATCACAGCATAACACTCGGGAGGAATTTCAGTAGCAGCTATTCCTTGATCAATCCCATTCACATACAAATGTAACTGAGATTTGCAATCTACAAGTATACCAACGAGACTGGAAGCTTGTAAAGTATCCAGATTTGGACCATATCGACCTTTAACCTAAAAGAAGATCATTTAATTCAGAGATGTTACAAATCATAAATAATATTTACTTTTATAATGAAATTGCTGAATTTCAAAATTAGACAAAGACTTCAACAACAACAAGAAAAAGTGAAAACAACAGTTTCAACTTTATCTCCCAAGCTGCTTTAATAAATAAATTCACCCTAACAAGTTAGTAACGTCTAAACGTCAATAAGGTAAGGTTTTTGCTGTAGATCTAGTAAAAATGCCGTAGAAAGAACTGATGAGCGACTTACTGTAAGTATTTTATTTTATAAATTTCTTTTTACATAGTATTTACTGATTATTTCAACCATGAATATGTTGTAAATAATAATACTAGTAATAGTAGTAGTAATAGTAATAGTAGTAATAGTAAAGGGTCTGAACCTCTTTAGGATACATTGTTTTAGATTGTTAAAAATGTCAATGTATTGAAAAGTCATTACTAATCAAATGTAAAGATGCAGTTTTCTTCTTGACATACACAGGGTGCGTTCTGGTCATCCGAATCTGTTTCCCCCCGAGTTTTCCCCTTCATTTTTCCTGAGTTCCCAATTTCTCTGCCTTAAACTACCTGCAAAGCTGAATAAATAGGAAGTACCTCAAAGTGAAATTAAGAAAAATTATTTGAATACTTTAAAGAAAAATTTTAATTCTAAATTGGAAAGAAAATTATTTAAAAAAATAACAACACAAACAAACAACTTCAAAGACAGTTATATCAATGAAACATTTTCCATAAGCAGAAAACTTTGTTTGAATGTTTAAAATTTGGTGAATTTTATAAGATTAGAGGTGGATAATCATAAAGATGACTGATTATTACCAAATCACTTTTTTTTTAACCAAGAAGGGTTGGAATGTAGTAAAAATAACATTTTAAAATATAATTTTGGTTTCTTATCTGGTAGATTTAAAGTAAAAACGTAAACACTGAAAATGCAATGCTGGGCCAGGAAAGAGGTGCAAAGAAAAATGCATTTAAGCACTCAGACACACCAATACATTAGTGATGCCTTATACACAGCCTACACAAATGTTACCAAACTTATTTTAAATGCTCTCATATTAATATACACCTTGTACACCTGAATTAAGGAGTTGGCTGCCGGACTATGCGTCTCTTCTCTTGTGTCACTTAAATGCTTAGAGAAATAGGACTCTTGAAGGAAAAATATGTAAAATATATCAGTGAAAATATTCAGATGCCTTAACAAATTTTGCAAGAATTGAGTCTGCATAGGATTTTTTCTCTCTAAGTCATATTCCATTTTTCATTCTATTCTATTTTTTATCTTATTTATTGTTCAAATGACTTCCAAAAAATTGGTGATGAGAAGGTAATTAACACTTAACACACTGAAGTAACACATAACTGATAATACAAAACATTTTGTGAGATTGTTCATTTTTCAACACCACCCTTCATTTTTAATCACAATTTTGAAAACCCTTTCTTCATCCTCAAAAGGCAAGCATATCTTTTTGAATAGCCTCTTATAGAACCATGTAGAAATAATATTTAAGACTCAAATAAGATAATTACAGACCAATTTAAAGCAATAAACTTTTACAATTTTTTTTTTTTTTTTGAGAAAGGGCATGATGCAGTTTAAAGAAGAAAACATAGTTTGATCTTAATTGCTAAATAAAAAAATGTTTTTCGGATAAATAATGGTCATTATTGTGTTTCTGTCTAATAGCCAAAAGAAGTATTTTATTTGAACATCACATTTGAAGTCAGTGTGAATGGAAAAATAACAACAAAACAACAACAACAACCTACTCTAGTGATGAATCTATAATAAATACAAACAACGTTTCTCTAGTGATTATGAAATGAATGTAAACTGAGGAACAAACACTTGAATATATGACAACAGCGAGCACAAGACAATTCTTGACAATGTAATTTGTTAGTGAAATAAGTTCAATAAAAATTATAATACTAAAATAAATAATGATAAAAAGTAACAAAACATTAAAATTTATTTTTAAAAAACTTACCTTTACTCCATTGTGGAAGACACAATCACTACAAATAATCCAAGAGTTCTTTTTGAATCCTAGAGCTGTCACAGGAAAATGCATTTTATTTGGAGATTGGCAAGTAACTCCACATAATATTGAAGATACCCATCGTGGATTCAATGAATCTATTCGTACCTGAAGTAATTAAAATCATGTACAAAACAGGCAAATATAATTCAGTTTATTATAAACATGTGGAAAGAATACAAAACAATGTATATACCTGGAAGATATGATCTCGTGGCAAAGGATGACTAGACATTACTAAACCTTGATTATAACTGGCTATTCTCTTGGCAGTTGTTCTGTTTTCACCTAGTTGAACATTGCGACCATGGTTTTCATGAAACTCAAAAGCAATGCGGGGAGGTGCTTCTACAACTGACATATGCTGACTTGCAGTGCTTGTAACTGACTGTTGATTAGTTAAAGTTGTACTTGTTGTTGCAGCTGTTGCAGTAGTAGTCACGGTTGCTGCTGGCAGAGGCAATAAATTTGAATTGTTTTCAGTAAGTTCATCTGGCTGTACTTCTGGAGGTTTTGTGTTCAGTAATTCTGCCAAGGCTTCTGAACTATCCCTACGTAAAAAGAAACAAACTTTTCATTCATTTTACATTTCATGTAATAGGAAAGCATGCATTCATTCATTCATTCATTTATTCAATGAACCTTGTCAAATAAAACAACACTAGTTCAAAATTAACATTGCAACAATACACATTATTTACCTATCTCAAATCTGTAATTACTTTAGCAATAATACTAATTCAATCTTTACAATTATATTGAATAGTTATATGTATAGCTCTATTAGCATTAATTTGCATGTAATGAATATAACACCAGCTAATATAATCATTTAAAGACTATTTACAAACTGACACATAAAAACGTATTGTGATATCTTACAGTGTTCTGCTTGGTTGTTGTGTGGGTGTAGTAGCATCGAGAAGCATTTCTAAAGAATCGTGAAGTTTACTGGACCGCAATGATTCCAACATTGCAGCAGCTCCTTCCCCATCTTCACCTGAGCTACCGTCTCTTCCAGTACCTAACCTCACACTTGTGACACGTACAGTCAATGTGCTGCCGTATAAGTCCACCACAGCAAAAACACGCTGCAAAGATCAAACAATGTATTTGCCTTGAATTTTACTGCACATTTCCTTCTGCCTGAACTCAATTACTGTGTTTTACCACCAGTTTGTAAAAAATCCACTAGCAGAAATCATAAATATCGATATCTATCACTCAAATTCTGTTAATATTCATAATAAGAATGTTAAAAGTAATTTCTACACAAATTGCTAAAATATAAAATATATTTAATACTTGTTTGCATTTTGATTTTATTCTGTGAAACAATATGGCACAAATACCAGAACTGCTGTTATATATCAAAACAACATCAAAAGTAGATATAAAATATTATATTTTTATAGCATTTTGCTACAATTCTTCATAGAAACCAGTAATGATTTTATATTAATAAAATACCAGTATAAGATATTTATTGGATACATAATGTATACACAGGCGTTCATCAATGGCAATTATTAATGCCTCATCAGAATAGAAATAAATGTCTTCCAATAGCACAACATTCTTTCCTGTACTTTCTCTAATGACTAAGTATATTAACATTCCATCCTACTAACACATGCAACCACTTGAAAATATCAAATAACATAAATCAGCTTTACACAAACTATTAATATTTTAAAACTTAATGTATATGAAATTATTTAAAGATCTAATATTAATGAACAGATTTCATTAAAAAAGAAACCATTACCTTCAATTTTCAATGTGAAAAAAATATGTTTGAAAAAACTTAGCAGTTTTTCAATTTTACACATTCCAGAGGATTTAATGAAAATTAGACATATGCCATATTATTAAGTATTACTCTAATTGAGCAAAAAACAGAAAGAAAAAGAAGAAAAAATTGAACTTTTTTAAAAATATTGCTTACACATTTTAAAAATTGTTATGAGTTAATTGTTTTACATAATTAATAACTAATCTTATTTTCACAAAATAGTACATTGCTTTATTTAAAGATACAGTTCTGAAGAACAGTTTTTATTAAGAAAAAATCTCTCTCTTCAATAATATAGTTGTAAAGGAGGGTAAAGAATTTTTTTTTTTTTTTAAATTTTCAAAATTTCAGATGTTTTATTGGAAATTGGACTTTTGAAATTTTTATAAGTGTCCTTTCCTCTAGACAATAATAAAACTTAGAATATAAAGTTTTCAGTTGTTTTGAGAAAATTTTGAAAATGTCTTGGGGCTTAAATAAATCACAAAAATTAAAAGATTCATTTTGAGTTCTCAGGACATGGGGTTCAAGATCTCAAAAATGACAAACACTGTACCTTAGGTATGTTGGTTGCAGCAACTCCCATGTCTTCCCCATTAAGTAGAAAACTTAAAGAACCGTCAGCACCTCTACGGACCCCTACTCTGTCCCCCGTTGTCAGCCATTCAAGACTTGGACTGTAATTGACCTTTAGAATCATTGAATTTTTTCTTACTTCATTTCCTATAACAGACATCATTTTAGAATCATTTTCATCGTTATCATTATTAACAAATATCAGTAAGGAATTACCTAGAATATCAAAAAACTAGGTGTGTGCTACTTTCAGTATATTGCAAATTAATTCTCTCTGGCAGTTTACATTTTTGTGATAAGAGTAGTAGTAGTACCTGTTAAGTACCAACTATCAGCAGTCAACCCTGCAATTGTTCCAGGAAGGCTGCCTGCAGGATAATTGTCAGAAACTTGCAAAGTCGTAACACCGATGTGTAGAGTACCTGACCACTGCGGAGCCATTTCCTGTATACTGACTTCAAATACTTCATCGGCATCTAATGGTGCATTACTGAACACTAAAGCATGACTATAATTCCGCACTCTAGTAGCAACAGTGTAACAGGAAAGTAAAATTGCATTCTTTCCGTAACACGAACTGAATCTGAAACCAGAGGAAAACAAAACATTTTACAAGTAATCAGAAAATATTTGGTATAAAAATATGACTTGGGAGTTGAAAGTACTAGAGAGAGGGCTTCATTTTCACCAAATTTTTAAAAAATATAAATTTCAACCCAAAGCAACAAAATTTCATAAGTTCATACATTAGGGACACCTTCTCATTTCTTTAAAGGCTAACAGATACTTGAAAATAGGCAGTACAATTGCCATAAAAGGGGAAGGCAGAACATAAGGGATTGACTCACACTTTCATTTTGATCCTCATCAAACTTCAGGGCAATTGTACCTTGTATATGATAGTGGAGCACTGCAAGATAATTGTCAAACCCTTTTTTGTGAATATTCATCACTATTTCAGTTTACTACTTTGTTGGGAGTTTTAGTTCTATTTCATTTATTACTTAGGAATTTTTCTTCTAATGCTTGTTCTTCCTATTTTAGTAGTTCTCAACTCATATTATCAGGTCTTTCTTGGGTTTTTAAGTACTGCTCTTAGCTTTTCTGAATGTACAATTTGTGAGGAATATTTTAAGTTGTTTGTAGAATTATGTTTTCTTCATAGAATGATTGATTTATGATTTCAGACATGTTGACTGCTACGATCAGTCCTGTTAGTGAAGTAAAGGATTTTTATGTCTAGAGGTACCGAGGTTCTTCCATTGGATTCTGACACACTACTCACAAGTTTGTGGTGAATTTCCCCCTCCCCTCATGCGGCAACATTGCATCCACGACAAGCTCTTGTTTCCTAACTTCCATTGTCTTTCCCAACATGTGTAGAAGTGAAGTGAATGCAAGTGTAAATGTGTATGTGTGTGTGTAAAGAAAGAGAAAGAAAGAAAGAAAGAAAAGATTGCACATGGTCCATGATCCTTCTGTTAGGGTTCTGCTCTGCTGTTCGTTTGATATTGATTGGAGAAACCAAGAAAACCCCACTAATCAGAGCAGCTGGCTGCTAGATTTTTCCTTCAACTCTAGCTATTAGTTAGTGTTGAAAAAGCTGTGTCTGTTGGGATTTAGGCCCTGCCAAGACAGCAACATTGCCGACTCTGAGCTAAGATCAGATGGTTTTCTTCATGGACATTTCATAAGTCATTTGCATTGGCCTCCTCTTGTTTGTAGCATTGATTTTTGTAATGAGATATCCATTTGTCCTCTGGTATTGAGAGTTTAAGGTGTCTCTTTTCTATATTTAATGTCTGAAGCCCATAGTCCATGGACTTGTTACGTTTTTCTCCATTGATTTCATGAATTTTTCCTTGTCTTCCCTTCCTGTTCTTCTTGTTATCTATCTCACCTCCACCCACATATTCGTATATTCTATGCATTTTTTCATAGTTTTTTCAATAGGTATCTTCTGAAAGCATTTCCTTT